AGGGGGCAGGGTTCGTGTTCTTCTGCGTTTTTGTATTCGTCAAAGGCAAGAGAGGCTATATTGATGGCACTCCCCTATCGACGGGGTGTTCACAATGAGGGGTGCCGCATTCAATATGGATCCTGTAATCTAGGTCAGAACCCCCACCTAACTGCCCAAACCCAAGAAACCCTTAGACCCCAAACCATGAACCCTCACTCCTACCTCAGCCCACAATTTCTACGGTTCTACGCCCCATGCCTTGCTGGCATCCGAACTTCACGGTGGAATTCCACGGAGCTTCCCCTTTCAGTCCGCCCGAGCTTCCGACGTCGGGGTCTATTGCGTAGGGAGTGGCGTTTCGGGCTTAGGGGTTGGTGTGTGGGATCTATGGGATTGAGAGTAAATGCCACAACAAACTTTAAGATTTGTGCGGTAAAGGGTTTAGGATTTAGGGTTTGGTAGTCTGCAATTGTGTCTTGGAGTACATTAAGTGGAAGAGCGAGTACCAGCATCGGCGATCAAAGCAAGATCGGAATAACAGTAGTTGCGCCAACGGCACAACGAATAACAGTATTGGTTTTGGGGTTGCCACCAAAGTTATCATACTCACCTTCTTCAGGGGGGTTGCTACGTGCTTACTGTGGTTTCCTTACTACCTGTTCAGAAACTTCTTGGGTTCAGTGTTGACATGTGTACTTCTGTGCTCGCACTGCAACCAGCCTCTTGATGCCCTTTGTTTATGTTAGCCGCTCACTTGCCAAATACGGTATGGGGCTGATATAGGGTTTAGGGGTTTTGGGTTCAGGGGCATCCTCGGGACAAGCGCAAACAAACCCAACACGGCGGAGGTGCAGATGCCCATGCTTCGGCAACACGAAGCAAAGCGGCGTGCATCCTCATGATGAGGCGTTCGGGATTGCGGCTGAACCTCCAACCTGGTTTTTAGGTTCAGGGTTTAGGGTTTAGGGTTGAGCCTTTAAGGTTTAGGCTTAGGGATATAGATTGAGGATTTACGGTTGAGACTGCAAGGCTTCGGCGAAGGGGAGTTGAGAGTTTAGGGGGTTTAGGGCTCAGGGTTTAGGGTTTAGGGTTTAGGGTTTAGGGTTTAGGGGTTCTCCCTTGCCTTACTGGGCCCTTTGCTGCTGCGACGGCGGTTGCAGTCACGCACGACTCGCTTTCCCCTCCCTTGAGGGCACCAGCCCCTTAATAGGGGTTTATTTCGAATCAGGACTCGCCAAAATAGTATAAGACTAAGGTTTGGGGGTATATTATGCTATATATCGAATCAGGAACCCCCCAAACTAGTATAATAGTAAGGTTTGGGGTGTATTATGCTATATTTCGAATAAGGAATCCCCAAAATAGTATAATAGTAAGGTTTGGGGGTACATTATGCTATATTTCGAATAAGGAATCCCCAAACTAGGATAATAGTAAGGCTTGGGGGTATATTATGCTATATTTCGAATAAGGAATCCCCAAAATAGTAGAATAGCAAGGTTTGGGAGGTATATTATGCTATATTTCGAATAAAGAATCCCCAAAATAGTATATTAGTATAGGTAATTTTTTTAGGCCCTAAACCCTAAACACCTAAACCCCTCCTCAACGAAACTCATGCGTCACGGTCTGGGCGCCGGGAACTCCGGCACCTCAACAAGCGAACCAGAAGCCTACGAACAGAAACTGTAGTATAAGGGCTTTAATAATCACCAATATTATTCTGGGGCTTCCTTAACATATATATTGTATACTGGACCCCAAATCCTATTCTAATTTGTAAGGCCCCTATATTGCCCATTCTTGCAAGCATGCGCAGGGGAAGAAAGATGAGGAGGAATGGCTGTTCGCCGTGTTTCACGATCGCCCTGCTGACGAGGACGAATAGAAAGAAAATGTGCTTGCGAGTCCTCCGTTTCACGTCAGAGGCTTTCCATGTGTATGTGTATGTATACAAAATACATATGTATACAAATATACATACACAGACCTAGCGGTGACGGGCTATGCCTGAGATGCTGGAAGGGGTTGGTTAAGAACAGACATGTTGTGCTCGCGGTGCGGCATGCTTGTATATTTGGGCTTCGCGACTGCCCCAACCAAAAAGAACCCTAAACTCTTCTTGCCTTGAAGCTGAAGATGAAGGCGTCGCAATTCACAGAACCATATCAGCTAAATAATTATGGTTTGTTTACACTTGCAAAGCCCTGTTCTAATAATCAAGGCCGATATTCTCAACCTTTCCAATAAGCCTTATGATAATCGATATTTATTAAAGTCCCCTTAGATTATCCCATAAAGGAATCCTAGAATATTTGAAAGAATCCGATTCTAATCTAATGATTTTGACCATTTATATCTGAAACTAAACGGACCCCTGGGGTAAATCCTAAACCTTGAAAAGGAAACCCTAAACTATTTATAGGATTTAGGGTGGAGGACTTTAAATTTTAAGCTGCAACTTCAAATAATGGATATTCTGGATGATTCGAGAGATAATCTTACCAATTTTAAAATATTTTATTATATTACTTATTTTAGATATAAAATAATTAATTCAGACAAAACGAAATTAAAATTGCTATATATATATATATATAATTATTTCGGAAACTTTCTCTTGACAAATATCATACATATATATATATATAAATATATTAAAATTATCGAATAGAAAATGCTAATTTGATTTTAGATATTAATATAATATTTATTATTTAATTTTTAGAAGAATTATATATAATTATATTAATATTCTTATTATTATAATGATTATATTGCTAATTATATTCTTGAATATTATTCTTATAATTATGATTATTATGATTCTATCTAGGTAGGAAAAATATGAATTTTTTCTATTGTGGAATAAAGAAAAATGGGGGTCGAATGATATTATTCTATATAATTAGAGATTCAAATATTTATGGATAGATATTATTATGATTTTTATTTCT